CTTTTAAATTTTAAAAAACTTTGTTATTGTGATTAATTTACGTCTACAAACAATTAAAGATAGCATTCAAAACAAAAAGAAAACGACCAAACAAAGTTACTTATTGTTTTTAATATTCTTTTTTTTTTGCTATTAACTAAAATTAGTCAACATTATTATGAAAATAAGTTGAAAGTTTACAAGAATAAATATAAAATAATGAGTCATGAATTTTTGTAAAAGAAAAAAATGAGTATGATTTTTCTTTTTTTTTTCTTTCGCACATTCATCAAGTTTGGAACAATTATGTCAATTTAATTTCCGCTCTGCATTTGTCTTCTTGCTTGCCTCAATATTAACGAATGTTCTTCATATAAATGAATGAAGATTACCGGAATTTAATACTGAGTTGAAATGTAGTTAAACTTAACTTTTTCTAATTAATCCACCTAAAGTTTCTTTTCGTATGAGTATCTTCTATTTTAATATTGAAAAAGATGGTAATATCGAATAATATAGTTTTATTAAGAAATGTCAAAATGTCTGTAAGGCCATTCATTAAGTGATGTTCAAGAAACATGACACAAGGAGAATGAAAATGAAAGGAGATCAGGCGTACTTGTACGTCCGAGCAAACATTACGATTTATTTTTTTTAATGTCTTTTTGATGAATTTTTTTATTGAAGCTTATTTCAAACTGTATTTTCGAAATAACAACTAACCAGAATTCTATGACATATATTATATACTCATAAACAATTTATGTAAAAGATATGTCAATTGTTTGAATAACAGCAAAACAAAAAATATAGACCAATTTGAAGAACAATATTTTTCGTAGTTATGATTAGCCAGTTAACAGTATCTATCATTCTCTAACTGATATGAACTTTTTAACATTTATCACTTATTATTCTTTTTACCAAGTAAGTTCTTTTATTTTGACTTGTATGTTGTCATCAATATGAACATTAATTTTTATTTCCTTTTTTCTTTTTATAATGTGCTTAATATAGTACTGTTTATTTAAAAAAGACATACTAAAATTTGTAACAGATTTTATTATGGAATTCATATATATATATTTTCAAAGAAAATAGTAAGTGTCAATTTCAATTGAGGTTTTTGAGGTTACACCTTGCCAAGCAGTAATAACACTGCTTAGATCATTTTGAAACTTTTTAGAATCTTCCAAAACATTCTATGAATCTATGATTTCTATCAAGGAAGATAATAGAATTTGCACGACGGTTTGAGGAAGTCGTGAATAAATAACTGATAACTTTGTCATCAGAAAGACTCCATAAGTTCCAAAGAGTGAGTCACTGGTCGCAGATTACAGTACAACTTTTTTCCTTAAATATTAATTTTTTGATAATGCTTATTATGACTTTGTATAGTTTAAACAAATAGCGGCGAATGTAGCGATAATATTGCAATCAATGGATGTTATTTCATTCGTTCGTCGGGTACTTTAGTCATCATTTTTTACTTGCACAATCATTTGTAATTCAGTAAAACATCTAATAGAACAATTTTTATTTTATTGCTCTCTCTATGTGAATTTGACTGTTATATTTGCTTATCTGGATTAATCGTGTTCGTTTTTTTCTCTCGTCATATTCAGCAAAAAAGTAAGTTTTTATTATATGATCTTGTTTTCAAAATAATCATGTTTTATCTCAAAAAACAATCCACTTTCACAATCAGTTAAAATATTTCAACTACCAACATAGATATTCAAATATATATCACACACTATAGAATTCAATGTTAGACAAAAAACACTCGTAGTACAAATTCATAAAGAATACATCAAAAAAATAAAAAATGGACGTATGATTATTAATAGATATTTCTCTTTTCTTTTCGGATCAAGAAATAAAAAATGGCAACACAATGTCCAAGACGTATATTAACTGAAATAACAAAATTACAAAGCTTAGCAACAGATTATACTCCATCATCGGTTCAATTTCTTCTTGATGAAACACCTGTGGATAAACCAGGATCAAATAAAATTGTTGGAAGAATTTTACCTAATTCAGAAATTTATAATCAAGCTGCATTTCAAATAGAAATGATATTCCCAACTGAATATCCATTTAAACCACCAGATGTTCATTTTATTACGCCGATTTATCACCCAAATGTTGATGATGGTAAAATATCTATTGACATGCTTTATACGGGAGGAAGTTATTCACCAAGAACATCATTAATTGATATTGTTAAAGCTGTTGTTCATCTTATTGATAAACCAGATCTCAATAATGCACTTAAACCAGGTAAATTTTTAAATTTCTTATTAATTTGTTTTTTAAAGTAATTTTTTTTTGTTTTAAAGAAATTGCTGCTGAATATTCACAAAATAGAGCTACATTCGATCAAAAAGCATTGGAATTGGTTACAAAACATGGTTTACCACGACCATAGGCTTAAATATTTTTAATTATCGTTGTCTTCGTTTTTGCAATATCATTTTTTCGTAAAAAAAGAACAAATAGTTATTATTTCATGCTAATTTGTGAGGAAGTTCCTTATATATAACTCAGAGATCGCTGTTCTATTTTCACTGCTCTACAATAAAAAAAAAAATAGACGCTGCAAAAGTAAATGCATCATGCAGCGTTTTCTTTTATTGTTTGTTGACAAAAGATGAATTTTTCTTTTTTTTTTCCTTTTTAAAATTCTTGCATTATTGATGATGTCATAGACCATCAAGTTGGTCCTGGCGTGTCTTCTCAGTTTTGAACATAAAATCAATATTCAAAAACTGATAAATTGAATTTCAATTTCTTTTAATTTCAATTATTAAAATGGGAAAAAATCTTAAGTCTCAAATTTTCGTTTTTTTTAAATTTAAAAAGAAATTATTGATAACAATCCTAATAAAATTTATATTTTCAGTTTTAATTTCCACTAGCTGCAATTTATAGAGTTCACTAGACACAATTGTTACTATGAGTGTCGTGAGGTTTTTTTTTAAGTTGAACAGACCATCTAATTGTCATTATAATATGGAATTAAACATCGAATGAACACTAACTAATCAAGGTTCAAGAGCATTTATATATAGAGATCAAAAATACAGAAAACAATGTTCAAAACACAAGACATCTCTGATAGATAGTCGTTGATGATCGTCTTCTCTTCACGGACAAATTTTCATTCACTTACTTTACATCCGTAATATATATTGAATTACCACTATAAATTATGACAAAACATCTTGAAAATCTTGTATTAACTTTAATTGAAACTCTTCTGACGAGGGAAGTCTATCAACTGTTCAATCGCTTTTGACTCAAAACTATGTACCTTATGTACATCCAGATGAACTATGAATACCCTAAAAAGAGTTCGAACGTTTAGCTTATTGGTATAAAAATACTGCACTTTTACGGTATTTTTTTAAAATAAATCCCCTGATTTTCCTCAGGCATACCAGAAACCCTTCCTTTTGAATTTCGACTTAAAGTTTTGAATAAACATAGATCCTAATGAAAATAGTTTGTTGTAGAAGCTTCAGGTCTTTCGATTTGATTCTATGAGTTATGTAAAATGCATGCTCTTACCATAGTTCTATCTTAGAATAAGAACAGCGACAAAAACGTGAAACATTCACAACAAACTATTCTCTTTAAAATCTATCTCTATGCAAAATTTCAGGTAGAAATTCAAAAGTAAGGGTTTCTAGTACGATGTAATCTATATCATTTTAATGAAATTTTTTTCAGAGAAAAAGATGACGCGAAATAAAAAAAAATGCCTTTTTTTGATGATGAAATGAACATTATTTTTAATGTTTTTTTTTTAAATTCATTGATGAAAATTAGAATTTTAATCCATGAAAAGGATTAATTTTGCATGAAAATCTCGTGATGAAAAGGATACAAAAACGAACTAACTTCTACTTCATCTGATTTAACTAGTCATCTGAGTGAGTAACTGTATCCAGACTTTTACACAAGTCTGGATTGGTTGCCCTTCAAGGAGCTCTGCGGTGAACTTTTCAAAAGTTCATTTTACTCTACTGTGACAAGGAGTGGCAAAGCACATACATAGTATTCAGAAAGTCATTGACCGATAAGAAAAGTGTATATATTCATTATGGTTCTCTAAGATGAACTTGTCTTTGTATTGGTGGTAGAAAACACTTCCAAGTTCTCAATCATAAATATACAGTTCTGAGATACTTTTACAAAGTAGTACTCTCAAGTTCAATACACAATTAAGTCTTTTTTCGAGCTGCAAAAATAAATGTGTAAGATTTTTTCTAGAATTTCTTCAATTTTATTTCATTATTGTAAACTTTCAGCCATTGAGATGTATTTCTATTGCTTCATAATTCCTTATTGGACATTTTTAATAAAAATCCTATAACGCCATTGATTTATTCAGTTTATATTTCATTAAAATTTTTGATAAAGGATCCACAAATTGTTTTGAAAAATTGTACCAATCACTATGCATTTTTCAAATGTGTTTAAAAAATGTTTATAAAGCAAGAGAAGCAGGCTTGAAAGACTGAAAGTTTACAATAATGAAACAAAATTGAAGAAGTTCAAGAACAAATCTTATATATTGTTTTCTGCAATCCGAGAAAAGGCTTTATTGCATATTGAATCTGTAAATGTTCTCTACCATCAGTACAAAAAAAACTAGTTAATTCGATAGAACTGTCATGAAGATGGGTGTAGATGCGGGCGTTAACACAAAGAACACTCTCACTCACACTCACACCCTCAATATGTTAATAACGCGTTTTCATGAATTTCTGTATTTTTCACGAAACTTAACTGATTGATTCTCGTTAAATCTAGTAACTAATCTCATGAGTGAAATATTTTAACAAGTTTTAATGAAAATTTTAATTGTTAACAAACGTCATTTAATTACTCATCATTCAATCTACTAATTGTTTTCATCCATACAATATTCATGATTTTTTGTGTAACATATTTATTTATGCACATTACACAAAAATCATCTTGAAAGACTTATATTTACGAAATATCAAGTATGTTTATGAACTATATCAATACAGATATCAAAAGCTTTTTATCAGATTAAGCAAAACTCTCCTTTAGAGAAATCTCAACTTTGTATTAATTGCTAGCAAAACCACTTGAATTAATCCTAGACAAAAATAATCTTCTTTGATTTTTTCTTTAAAATTTACTATGGGTTTTATATCTAAAGGAATGTAATTCTGTACTTCGTACATCATCATTTCTGCTCCACATGATAAAAAAAAAGTTTAGCAAAATAATTGTTTCAGTTAAGGTCAAAAGTTGTCTTAAAACGTAAATTAATAAAGTTTCACGAAGAGAATTTTCATGAATTTTGGTTAGATTTGGAAAATTCGTTTTAATGCATTCAATTTTTGACGTTTTTTCACGCGTGATTGTCATTGTA